GTAAAAAAGAAATGAGGTTATGACGTTTGTAGCTAAGAGGTACCATAAATAAGTAGCCAGTCCCCATGAGGGCACCATGATATCCCCAAGAAAAAGTGCCAAGTTTCTCAAAGTCAAAAGGAGATGTGTGCTTGCTATGCTTATTCATATCAAAAGCTCTTTTCTGAAACTCTAATTTTATTGCTTAAGCAAATTTGACACAACTTTTTTCCAATTTGAAAATAACATTCTTATTCTAACTGTAGAATTGGCATATACACGCTTTAAAAAAAAATTAAAACAACATGAAAAAGTGTGGAGAAAAAGTAGAAATCCCCAGAACCACACATCCACCTACCCAAGGATGACTACAGCTAGCACTTTGAGAAGCATTTGCTACGTGTATGTACAGGGAAGATATGTAAATATTTAACAACTAGTACAGGACAGACACTGACCAATCAGAATAGACACTGGTCATCAACAACAAGTATGTCGGTAAGGCCTTATGAGCGTGGACTGGCTCATCAGATCACACCTGGTTCATGATTACTGATTTCTGATCTACTCTAAGTCCCATGATCTTCAAAACTCAAAATTCTTAATGAATCTTCTGGAGTAGGTTGCATGGTAGATTGGGAGGATAACAAACAGTCATTAACAAAAATCTTTCTCAATTTGATGTTGTAAGGAAGAGTGTCACTTAAAGCTCTGGAAGTGAATCAAAATTTTTAAAGGAGGCAACTGCCAAGGTTTCCGAAACAGCCTGGCTGAAAGGCTGTTGACTAACAAGCGTAACTTGTAGACAAAGCTAAAGATGCCCTGCTATGGACTGAATTGAATCCCACCCCCCAACCCCCAAATATGTGTTGGAATACTAACCCCTATACCTACAGATTTAGAAATAGGTTTTCTTTATGTTAATGAGGCCATGTCAGTGTAGAGTGTCTTATACCCAATCACTTTGGAGATATAAAAGGGCAGATTAAGCACAGAAGCAAGGAAGCACAGGCAGGGAAGACAGACACCAGGACACATGAAGATAGCCAAGGAACCAAGGAACAGAAGCTGAAGAGAGACAAGGACCTTCCCCCAGAGCTGACAGAGAGAAGGCCTCTGCTAGAGCTGGTGTACTGAATTCCAACATCTAGTCTTCTTAACTGTGAGAAAATAAATTTGTCTGTTAAAGCCGCCCACTTATAGTACTTCTGTTATAGTAGCACTAGGAAACCAAGACATGACCCTTCTCTGAGAAAGAAAACCGGGCTGTTCTAGTTGGCTTCGCTTTTTAGAGTAAAGGCAGGAAAACATTCTGATCAGCAAACAGGATTCAAGGGACCTCTCACTGGGAGGCCCCTCTTCTTCAGGAGGCTCAAAATACACAAAAGTGAAACAAGGCGTTAGAAGTGATAGGGGACGAAGGAGGAGAGGGAAGAGCCAGATGAGGAAAGGGGAGACGGAGGAGTCAGAGAAGGAAGGGGAGGAGCTGAGGAGGGCAGGCGGAATGAGGAACCACAGGATAACCTGGGAGAGAGAGAGAGTCAGAGAAGGAAGGGGAGGAGTCCAGACGACAGGGAGAAAGGGGGAGCAGAGGAGGATCTGGGAGGGGGAAGAGTCAAAGGAGAAGAGGGCCCAGCTGAGGAGGAAGTAAGGAGGAGCCCGAAGAGGGGTGGGAGGGAGGAGTCAGAGAAGAAAGGGGCAGAGAAGGGGGTGAGGGAGGGTCCAGAAAACGAGGGGAAGGATGAAAGTGGGATGTAGATC